AATGAAGATAGCCGTTGGATTAAAGTAAAATCCAACGATTAGGAGAGTTTAAAGCACGCGGATGACAAAGTTGTACGAATCGCGAGGAGACATGATGATTGACATACTGAACAAACATACGCGTGGCAGAATAAAGCTGGAGAGACAGAACGCGTGGAAGAATAAAACTGCATTAATGAAAAAGGACGAAGCAAAACTAAAGACAAAACCAAAAGGTGGTCGAAGAAGAGAGGTGAAACCAACTAGATGGTCGAAATATCAATAAACTGAGGGGGCAAACACGAACTCACTCTTAGATCGAGTCATTTAGACTCGACCAGAGTGGGGGGACTAGATGAAATGGGATATTATATATCAAAAGGATAAACTGGTTTGCCATGCTGGTCGTACGAGTCTAATAGCGGGAATACCATGCTGGTCGAGCGATAGCATATCGAAAGGAAGTGGTCGAACATTGTGGCAGATCTGGTCGAAGATTGACCTACTGAATGAGAGCTCATCTGATTGACCACCCTGCGTGTGAAGGACAATCGAGAGCGTGATCCGGACGTGAGGAAGCGCGTGGAATTCTTAAGGAATTTCCAAGGATATTCAGGGGAATAATAACCCCATGTGCAGAGGACACGTGGCGAGAATGTATTGGTGCAGAGCGATAGTGGCAATAACCACCTCTAGCATACACACGATGTGTGTGTACGGATGAGCAGATCCGGGCAGCGTTGGGCAGACGGCTCATCAAATCTGGATAGCTCTTAGGGCAGCTATCTCACTCCTATATATATAGGAGTGAGTCTTTCTTGTTACACACGATTTATTCATTTTTACTCTTGAGAATTGAGTGAAACACATACTGACTTAAGCATCGGAGGCTCTTCACTAGAAAACCGCTCCGGTGTAAGAGTTCTTTGTAGGTACGTGGCGTTCTACCGACGCGGAGGAGGAAGACGAGCCGATTTCAAGCCGGTCGGAGTGTTTTCCGTTACCAATACGGATCCTAGTGATATTGAAATTTGAGTCGTTCTTACTCAAGTGGATCGACCTATTGCTTACATGAGCAAGGCTTTGAGGAGTATGCGAGTGGGGTGTCGGTCTATGTAAAATAATTGCTAGCAATAGTGGAAGCGGTCCGAGTTTGGAGGCCTTTTCTTTTGGGACGACATTTTCGAATTATAACTGACCAACAACCACTTAAGCATTTGTTGGAACAACTAATTGTAACTCTAGAGCAACAAAAGTTTGTGTCAAAGTTAATGGGATTTGACTTTGAGATTTGTTATCGACCGGGTCGGCAAATATCGGTAGCAGATGCTTTGTCTCGTCGAACCGATGTGGTCGAACTTATAGCTATTACCGGACCAACTTGGGCTATATGGGATCAATTACAAGAGGCAAATACTCAAGATGCCTTATGTAATGTTGTTCGTAGAAAGATGGAAGCTCAAGATGATGAGGCTCATGATTATGATGTCTATGGTGGATTGTTATTATATAAAGGAAGAGTGTATGTACCGGAAACCGATCACTTTAGACGTGAAATTTTCTAACATTTTCATGAATCCAAGATTGGGGGACATTCTGGAGGCTATCATACATGGGCACGACTATCCAATTCTTTTTATTGGCCCGGGGTAAAGAATGAATTTTGGGAATTCATGGCGAGGTGTGATGTTTGCCAAAAGGTGAAATCGGATTCTAGAAAGCCAGGTGGATTATTGCAGCCCTTCCCGGTGCCCGAAAGAATATGGAAGGATATAACGATGGACTTCATTGAAGGGTTACCGTTGTTTAATGGATTCAATGGGGTTATGGTGGTCGTAGATCGTCTTACCAAGTATGCACATTTCATTCCTATAACACATTCATATACAGCTAAGTCAGTAGCTAAAGTGTTTGTAGAATATGTGGTGAAGTTGCATGGGATTCCATGGTCCATTGTGTCGGATAGAGACCAGATATTCATGAGTAATTTTTTCATGGAGTTTTTCAAAATGCAGCTGACTGAATTGGCTATGAGTTCAGCATATCATCCTCAAACGGATGGGCAAACTGAGGTAACCAATGAACAGTATCTCAGATGTTATGCCAATAATTTTCCGAGAAAATGGGAAGGGTTCCTGCCATGGGCTGAATTTTTGTATAACACAACTTATCATGCCTCGACTAGATTCACTCCTTTCGAGTTGGTTTATGGACGGGTGGCACCTACCTTGGTTAGTTATCCGTTGGGAAAGTCTCTGAATGATGAAGTTGATGGGGAGCTAACGGAGCAGGATCTGATGATTCGAGAGCTAAGTAACTTATATGGGTCGATCAACCGAATGAAAGAATACTATGATAGGGGAAGAAGAGAAGAACGATTCGAACAGGGCGATTGGGTTTATTTGAAACATCGACCTTATCGTCAACAGACGATTTCTCAAAAAGCTCTATTCAAGTTGGGAAGCCGCTTTTATGGTCCTTATAAAATCATAAAACGTGTAGGTGAAGTGGCCTATAGACTTGATTTACTGGCAGAAGCTCAAATTCACCCGGTTATCCACGTATCCCAACTAAAGAAAAGCTTCAGTGGACGTCAAGGATTTCGAACGAGATTGGCGGCGGTGAATTCTGAAGGCACTATGATTGTACGTCCAACACGTGCATTGGATTATCGGAGGGTTAAGAAAGCTGGTCGTTTCCGTTGGGAAGTTTTAATTGAGTGGGACGAGTTGCTAGAAGAGGAGTCGACTTGAAAAAATTTGCAGGATATGCGAGTTCAACTCCCGGATTTTGTCCTTGAGGACTAGGACACTCTTGAAGTGGACGGGAATGATGCGTATGAGGGTCGTCGACTGAAGAATGCTTATAATCGGGCTCGACGTACACGGATCAAAGGACAACAAGATGGAGGTTGTGCAAGGGCTAGCGCCGCTAACCCCCCTAGCTCCGCTAAGGTCTGGGAGCTAGCAGCCTATTAGCACCACTACCTATCTTAGTGGGCGACAGAGGCTTCCAGCTTATAGGGGATAGCACCGCTAACCCCCCCCCCCCCCCCCCCCCCCAGCGCTGCTAGGGTCTGGAAGTTATGCAGGCGGGAGTAGTTTTCTTTCTCGTTTTTCTTAGTTGAATTTGGGTAGTTTAGTGTATTTATGTTGGTTTCAGAACATTTGTAAGGACATTATCTTCATATTTCGAAATAAATTCAGAAAACCCACATTTTTTAGCACTAATCCGTATCAAAATCAAGGCCGATAGTGTGGGTTTTGATACAAATTTTGATATTCGATACACACTAATTTTTTTAATTTGCTTTCACTGGCATGCTTTAATAAACATTGGACCATACCCGTGCAACTCACTGCTTTAATTTTACATACACAATTTATTTTTATGTCTTTTTTAGTAAGGTTTGTGGAAGGTTTGATTTTTTATACGGTTTGACTCACCTCAAACCTCTCTCAGATCTATCTATATATATAATTGTTTGCAAAGCAATTAATAAAACTTCTTCTGTTTTGCCTTCATTTTCCGTTACTTTTGTATTAATCAAACAATTATGTCGCATTAAATGTCACTCTTTTCTAAAGAGTTTTCAAACTATTTATATAAAATTATTTTTTTTTTTTCACTCATTAAGCAAGTTTTTGTATTAAAATTAGTTATCAAACAATTTAAAATTTCGCACATAATTTTTGTAATAATAATTTTAATATTATTTTATTCAATTAATTGGTCATAAACAATCAAAACGACATCAGTATAAGTATAAAGATTAATATATAAGTTAAATAGTTTATACTTATACCGTTACTAATGGTCAAAAATGTATAAAATGTGATATGCTCATTATCTAACTTATGATTTTAAATATTACATAAGCACACATCTAACCTAAAATTTTATTTTCAATATTTGTGCATGTGCACATGATGAAATGCTATTATATATAATTGTTAGCAAATCACTAAATAGAATTTAATAAATTAAACTTAATAAATTTTGCATATGTAGTATTTTTCTTCCAATAATCGTTACAATCTATTATTATTATTATTATTATTATTATTATTATTATTATTATTATTATTATTTTTTATTTGATTAAACGATTATTTTTTAAATAAATTAATTTGTTTTAGTATCATAGTAAAATTTTAAAAATCTCATAAACAATTATTATAGTAAATTTAATATTTTTTAGCTAAGTTATTGGTCATGATCTTTCAAAATTACAAATATTACACTATTCATTGCATTTTATGCAATCAATATAGTAATTCATATATAATCAAATTGTTATGTACTATTTATTTTAACTAATAATCAAATTTTTAAACATAATACCATTATCTAACTTATAATTTAATATTATATGCATAAATATTACTTATAATACTCTATATTATGTGAATAAATATTACTTATAATACTCTACGTATAAAATATAATACCATTATTTAACATCTAATTTTACTAGTATATACATACAAATAACATATAATATTTTATTTACATCTGTACAAATGTACATAATCGAATACTAATAATACTAAAGTTCACAGGTTTATGCTTTCAAACCTCTTCAAAACTTATTACTAAAGATTCTCTTAGGCCTTCAAACCGTTCAAAGTCAAACATGACTTGATTTCAAAGATTAAACATACAAATTTTCAAATACTAAATACAATTAACCCCAAAATTGATGCTAATCTCAACAATTGACTAAAGCTTCAACTATTAAACCAACACAATTAAGGTCAAGAGCTTCGACAATTAAGCCAACACAATTATAATATATCAGGAAAATGAGGAGCAATTTTCAAATTTACATATTGCTATCATTTAGTGAATATGAGTCAAAAAAGTAGGATTATTGTAGTTTGCCTACGTTTAATAGATCAAGAAAACATCGGTCATGAGTCATGACCGACCTATAATAAAAAATTATTGAAGAAAGATATCCTAGACATTTAAGAGATAGAGCGCGTCCATAAATGGGGAATACTTGTGTTAAAATCAAACTTTAAATACTCGGCTACATTATTCTCGTTCCTAGACATTTAAGAGATAGAGCGCGTCCATAAATGGGGAATATTTGTGTTAAAATCAAACTTTAAATACTCGGCTATATTATTCTCGTCTTCTTTAGTCTCTACTGTTGCTTTTTCTGTGTTCTTATTATATTTTGGTTAGAGCATGAGACTGAGCCAGACATTCTTCTCTATTATCTGTGCTGCGAACCACCATTTTTCTTACCGCGCTCCAATTCTAATTTCCCCAAACCAAAAACTTTTTGAATTTTGTCATTTGTGCTTTAACATCCTAGACTCTGAACCTGGCCAGAAACACTTTCTCTCCCACCAATGTTTGCCTATTTATCTTTTTTCCTTTGAGTGGAAAAAGTAGAATAAAGACTTCATTTTTCTTGCCAAGATTTTGAGACTTAAGAAGGGATGGAAATATTTTGAGGGTGGGAAGTAATTATATTTTCTTTTGATTAACTAGGAATTCTAGGATTTCATTCACTAAAAAAATATGTGCATAATGCATTGAATCCAATGATAATTTAAGAGATCTCAAGAGTCTTTGCTGAGATAATGGATGGTGTTACGGAATTTTCTGGGGTTTTGATCAGAGGAAAAATTTGTAAAGTCTCTCTCTCTCTCTCTCTCTCTCTCTCTCTCTCTCTCTCTCTCTCTCTCTCTCTCTCTCTCTCTCTCTCTCTTTCTCTCTCTTTTCTTTGCACAACATATACTTGTATGAATGTTCTGTTTAAATGTATTGCATGTGTGTGGTTCAGTGTCTTCCGATACATGTTCAATTCAACACGAAGGGCTACACTTATGTTTCCTCTTCTATGTTTTATGTTCTCCTCATAATATAATTGCTTTAATAAAATTACACTAGAGAAATTCATTACTCACCACCTTGGACTCAATACTTCCACTTTTCTATGTCTCTATTGAATCGGAAATAAAATTTTAATTTAAAGTTTTCTCTTCCTTCTCCCATTTGATGTCCAGAAAATTAACCACATTTCACAAATGGTTCTCATATTTTCATATTCAAAATCTTGCTTACACAATTTTTTTGCGGACCCTTTGAAATAAATGTGTAAATATGCATTGCCCAAATTTCATTCTTGATTGAAGAGAAGTTTGAGCAAGAATAAAATTAAAAATATTTACACATATTTTTGCCCAAAAATACATTTTCTAGAGTTATATTTTATTGTAAACATACAATTGTCAATATCACAATAAAATATTTTTGTACCTTGACAGACTGTTGACATTAAAAGATAGCTACTATGAAGAACAACTGCAAACTCTGATTGATGGCATGCTTCAGCAAGTTCATGTTGTAGGAGAAGGGTAAGCTAGTTATGGTCCTTAGTCATAAAATTCATTTTCAAACTTTGTTTTATCTGGACTTTTTAGCGTTCTGGCGGTTATAATTTTCTTCTGAATACAGCTCGGGATAGGAATAGCTTGAAATCTAAAACTTGATAATTTTCACTGGATTCTGATGCAGGGTAATTGGCCAAGTTGCATTTTCACTAAACCACAAATGGATGCATTCAAATTTCAAATACACATCACGAGAGGCAAAATTGTTTTGCGTCGTTTGAAATTCTTGAGGTGTTTTAGGTACATAAATTTAACCGCTTCAAATAATTATAAGATCTGTCTTAATTCTTACAAATAAACTGAGTTATAAGACTGCATATTTTGTCACACATGTAATGTTGGAAATTATTATACAACAGGACTCGGAGTTCTATAATCAATTTTGTAGGGGAATAAAGGTGCACATTACTAGTCTTTTCTTTTTTTCATATATTTTCAAGATTTACTCTATGGCAATATAAATGAGATCTTCATTTGTTGATCTAGCAGACTATTGCATTAATCTCAGTTGAACCATGGGGAGTTGTGCAATTTGGATCCACTCAGAAGGTCATCACTATACGCTTCTAATAAATCGAATAATTTCATTATTCTTTGAATACTTTGTTGTGGTAACTAATCCTTTTGTATGCCCTTGTGTTTCAGATTCCTGAAAGGAAAGAATTTATCGAGCAAGTGAAGAAGCAGTTGAGAGAAGTGAAAGTCAGAGAAAAGGAACCTCCTTCAAATAGCCAAAATCTCGAGTCAAGCACTCATTTAACTTCATTATTATCACCTGCTGTTTCCAGTTCTTCAAACGATCCAATCCAAATCATGAGCCAGTTTAGGGATGGAGTGGATGATTTTCTTGTAGAGTATAACAATAGCACAACTTTGTTTGGATCCTCCAGCAAGCAAGTATTTAAAAACAATGCTAGTGATTGTTGTTCTGTTCTGACCTCATATTGGTCTCATTCAGCATCTTGGCCAGATCAAAACGTGCCCCTTTCAGATAATGTCCCAACATGCTTGAATGACACTCTCACACCAGTTGTCGACCACTCCTCAAACACCTTATTCTCCAAACTAGGCCTTCACCAGTTTTTAAATACTAGCACAACCTCTTCATTTAGTTTTGGTCCTAATGGGGAAAAGAAACTGTTACATCCGGTGTTTGAAGATAAGATGAGGAGATATACTTTTGACATTAAAAGTGCCAAGAAAAAGGCTAAGGCTGGGATAAAACCGAGGCACAAAAATAGTCAGATGATCCAGGACAGGTTGGCAGAGTTGAGGGACCTCATTCCTAGTGGTCACAAGGTCGGTCACCTAATTTTCCCTCTTTTTCTTTTTCTTCACTATGCCTCAAAATGGCTTCTCTTTTTCACAACAGGTCTTGCTAGGTAATATCGCAAACTATACTAGTCTCTTGAAATTCTATATTTCTTGCATTGAGATGAGCATTGATGGTTTGTTGGAACGAACCATTAGGCACTTGAATTCATGCAGAGTTTGATAACACATGCAGAGTGTCTCATACAAATCAATAAGCCAAAGGTACCATGACTTTTATTTTTCTTTTTCAAACTGTTATAAGCACCTGAACAACCATCGGATTATAACTTAAGAGTTATTTCATTGTCATGGCTCACAGAGTGGGGAGGTACCAAGAAATCTGTCGGGCAAAGACAATGGTGGATTTATGTAGGGTTGTGAAGTTGAGGATCAATCTATGGTTTGTCCACTCATAGTTGAGGACCTTGATACCCCTGTTCAAATGCTCATTACAGTATGAAAATAGTTGTATAAAAAAAAAGAATCAGTCAGCGAGAAACAGAAAGGTGTTTAATAATATATCACTCTTATTATGCAGATCCTTTGTGAAGAAGGGGGCTTCTTTTTGGAGATTGCTGAGATCATTAGAGGTTTTGGCTTGAATATCCTCAAGGGAGTGACTGAAGTCCGTGAACCGAGCAACATATGGGCTAACTTCATAGTTCAGTCTGAGGTATCAAAATAATTGACCTTTTTTTATCTTCAAGATAGTTATTACACCTAACTAAAATGTCTACTAATGTTTATAAACGTGTTCACTTTTCAGGGGGCCCGTCGTGTAAGTCGACAGGAAATATTTTCATCTGTTATTCACCTTTTGTAAATGAGTGGAAAAAGCACGTTCAATGGGTGTCCAAGCGCGTCTGCTTTCAAAAACAGCGCCCAACCTCCGCTTTCTTTTCCTGACAATAACTTAGTAGATGGTTTTCGATGTGCTAACTTTTGACAATGGACAAATGATGGGTAATCAGCTTCATCTGTTATTTCTCCTTGTGGTTAATCACCGATAATGGCGTTGTCTGTCATTGTGCATTTTTTATTGGCGGATGGTTTTCATTTGGGGTGACTTATGAAGATGGATTTTAGTTGAGGAAGGATTTTTATTGAAGCCCGACAGGCTGCATTGAAATTTTTGTGCCAACCGTTGAAGATTGTTGAGGTTCTATCATTTGAGATTGTGTTCTCTACTTGTAAGAATTGCTTAAGGTTGTGTTTGATAAGCATATAACTGGCTTATAACTAATTTGATTAGCTTATAAGCGTATTCAAATAAGCTTGGTTTGGTAGGACCAATTTTTTTAAAGAGCACGAGCTTATCTCACAAGTTTCCTTGGGTAGCTTTTCAAATAAACTCGTTGAACATTTTTATTATATAAGCTATATTTTTAGGGATAAGTCATAAGCTTGTGCAGTCGAGTTTATATTCCTTGCCTATATTGATTAGAAAAAGGCCCGGTGATAGCATAAAAGGTATATTCAGCCTAGTTTTTGAGAGACTATCATATGAGCAACGTGAGACACAAGAAGAGAAGCCCCAACACACGAAAGAGAGACAATTGAAAAACAAAGAGGACCGAATAACAAATGTGTATGTCAAGGAGATCAAAATATCAACGAAATTCCTAGTTTTTTTTTTAAAGAATATTTATCACAACGATTTCTAATATGTATAATTGATTATTTGTTTTATTAACTCTATGTAAATATATGATTCTTATTCATGTTTAGCATCTGATCATTGTTTTTATATACTCAACAATATTGTTCATAACTCGAGAGATGAGTTCAATACTAGGTCTTGAATATTTGATGCAATTTACTCACTTGAATCGAGAGATTGTTTGGTGATTGTCTTTTGTTATACTACGAGTTGAATTACATATGTTAAGTAGAGACATTGATATTATATATATATATATATATATATATATATATATATATATATACGGGATGGAAGATACACTATCCTATGATCATTTTATAGGGCATAAGAAAAAAAAAAAAGTTTACCTGCGATATTTCTAAATAAATTTAACTATTAATTGAAATCATAGTCTTAGAATCTTTCATTCCACTAATTTCCCAGTCATCCTCGCGCGTGCGTATCGTCCCGGATGTTTCCCGCGTGCTGCAACCAAATCTAAGTCTCCCCGATTGCAGCCAGACCTAGGTCTCCCAGTAATCGCTCACTATGTAGTGTTCGGTCGTCGGGAGCTGCCAGTGTTGGGTCGCAGCAAGCAGTCTAGCACAGACCCCAACGCCAAGCGACTCGTGCAACCCGCAGCGCCTAGGCGACTCGGGCAACGAGAAGACTCGTGCAGCGAGAAACCAGTCAGTGCATAACCGTGCAACCCAGGCCGAACTCGTGCCGCCGCAGACCTAGGTCCAGCCAGTAGCAGCACCATAGTCGAATTTTAGCCTTATTTCGAAAGCCATTTTTCAAGTCTTAGCCGAGCCTTAATTTATCTTATTAGAACCTTTAGCCGAGAGTTAAAAAAATTAATTAAATGAATTAATTTTAATTAAGAACTTATTATATTAATTCATTAAGCAAAAATGTCATATTTATGATAGATAAATTTTATCATGTAGAATATGAAGATCGAGCCCGTGAGAAGAACACAGAGCATTTCATCATTCACTTTCTAAAATTAAGGTGGGGATTTTATACTACGTTTTATTCATTATAATAGCACGGTATTATAATTATGGTATGTTATGTGAGCATTACCTCCCTTTGGGCTGCTAGACCGTCCTTCGGGGTGTGAGATCGTCCTTCAGGGAGTGCAGCAGGTATGAAATCACCCTTTGGGGAGTGCAGTTATGAGATAGTCCTCACGTCGGGGTGTGCAGATGAGATAGTCCTCCCGACAGGGTGTGCAGTTATGAGACCATCAGTTATGCTATTGTTGTAATATCTGTTATTATCTAGAATAACTGCGCAGTATGCCTACCCACTGAGCTTGTGGTTGCTCACCCCTCTTTTTTCCCCTTTTTAGGTTGATCAAGTTTGTTACGGGACACATGATGGTGGGGTAATCAGATTGATCAAGTTTGTGACGGGACACAAGATGGTGGAGTGATCATGTTTTCAAACAAGTTGAATGTTTATGTTTATGAAATATTTTACTTAGTTGGTTTTATTAGTGTAACGCCCCACTTTGATTTAACGAAAATCCGTGACTTTTCAGAAAAATCAATTTAATTTTTAAAACTTCATTTAAAACTTTTGTGGCATTAAACAATCATCATCATAAAATACGGTCATAGCAATGACATCAAAACATAAATCAACACCTCATCAAATGTTTCATCACAAGTCATAAATACCCAAACCGGGTTATCAACCATAATCAAAAGACATAGCAATGTCAATAGGGAATCTCCCCAACAATGTTTCATATCATCATAATTATTCCAAGTTTCATAAATCTCCCAAGTTCATAAATCATAAATAAATTCAAATAGCGGAAGCAATACAATCAATGGTCTAGTCATCTAGACCGACCACCACTCGCCTCGCTTCGCCATGCCTGCAACATGCTTAACCTGCGTGTGTGAAGAAAAAGTGGGGATGAGCACATTTGGAATCCGTGGTGCTCACCACTATGCACATAAATACCAAGTAATATAAATCAGGTATGGTTGCAGCATGTATACGAATCAATAAACTATCCCATCTCCTATCCAAAGTTCGTTCTCATGTACACACCTACGGATAGACTACTGCTGGTCCACGTATCGTATGCCTGCTTAGGCCTTACGTATCATATGCCTGCTTAGGCCTTATAACGTTATCCTAACAGTAGGAGTCTCCCCCGACGGCCGAGCTCTGCCCTGGTCTTACGATGGGGTATTTATCGCCGGTCGAGCTCCGCCCTGTTCTTACAACCGATGCGTCCTTCGCTCAGGACGAAAAGAGGAAATTACCACAATGGGGTCCATTCTATAGCTACGGGGATAACCTTTCGACGGTCGGTACAGCTCACATCGAAGGCTACATGGTTCACATGCATACATTGATCATACCACAAGCAGACATAAACAAAATTTACGACATAGCATTTTAAATAAAACCCACCTGGTATTCCGGGAGAGCAAAACGCAACAAGTAGTGGAACGTAGGTCGAGGCTCGACTCCTCAAAAACCTACATTTAGGTGAGATAATAATCAACAATTTATCTCACTACTCGGAATTAACATATAACTCACACTTAATCAAAAATAATGATTAAGAGATTTTTATCAGATTTTTCGTGGACTTGAAACTCTCAGATTTTTTAAAAATAGGACTCGGAGGACTAAATTAGAGTCTCGGGACTTAAAATAATTTTTTCCAATTTTTTTCTCTTTTTGAGAATATTTTTAAAATTGAAATCGATATTAAAAACGGCTTCCGGAACTCAAAATTGGACTAAAAAATGAACTGGGCCGCGCTGGTAGAAGCTGGCTAAAGACTGCCCCAGATATGGGCCTGGGGTGTGTGGTTTATGGACCGAAAAAGGCTTGGCCAAAGGCTGAAAGGGCTGCTGGCTATGCAGGTTGAAATCCTGGCCAAAATGCGGGCTCGCGGGCCGCCCGGCCCGAAGCTAAAGGATGC